GGGACGTCATGTTCAAGTTCACCATCATGGTGCCATTTACAGCATCAAAAGAGGAAAACACCACAGAAAATATATTTAGTTGTTTGTTTCTCCTGTGAGTTGGTTTCCCAGCACAGAACAAAAAATATTTCTTAGACAATGAACAAAAGCCGTTCCTTCGTCTCTATATCCATAACCCTAAGTCAAAGAAAGGCTGTGCCCAGCTCCCCTGTCACGGCCTCAGCCCCGCACAGCTGTCCTCTCCCTCAGGGTTTCTGACACTCTCAGGATGTGGGGCATCACACTGTGTCCCTCGCACAGTAATACACAGCCGTGTCCTCAGGTCTCAGGCTGCTCAGCTCCATGTAGGCTGTGCTGGTGGACGTGTCCCTGGTCATGGTGACTCTGCCCTGAAACTTCTGTGCGTAGTTTGTGGCACCATTGTTAGGATTAATCTCCCCCATCCACTCAAGCCCTTATCCCGGGGCCTGTTGCACCCAGTGCATATAGTAGCTGGTGAAGGTGTATCCGGAAGCCTTGCAGGACACCTTCACTGAGGCCCCAGGCTTCCTCACCTCAGCCCCAGGCTGCACCAGCTGGACCTCAGAGTGGACACCTGTGGGGAGGAGACAGGAGTGAGTGGAAACCCATGACTGGCCCAGGTCCCATCATCAGTCCAGGAACTGGGGAGCCCCTTACCTGTAGCCACTGCCACCAGGAAGAGGATGGTCCAGCTCCAGTCCATGGCGAGGGCTGTGCTGTCAGGACGTCTGTGGGGGAGCATGTGGCTGTGGGGTGATGCTCTCAGGGCACAGACATGTCATATTTAACCCGCCCACCTCGGCTCATTTGCATATTCATGAGCAGAGTGTTTCATAGCTGAAGACTTGGCCCACCTGAGAGAAGCTGGATGACACAGGGACCGTGCTCAGTGGACGTCTGAGGGTCCACGTGCTAATCCTTGTTGGAGGATATGTGTCCCCTGCCAGGTCCCTGAATCTGTGCCAACAGAGCTCTTCCCACTGAGAAACAAGGTCCCCCAGGACACGATCCTCACTGAGAACCCCACTTTGAATGACACGGAGACCACCTGAGCCTGTTCTCGGTTTTCTCTGAATATCAGAATCCTGGGATCAGTGTGTGTGCCCGAATTTTGAAAATTTCTGATTGGTAAAACCATCCTTGTCATCCAGGTTGATCTTATTAAGACATCTTGAAATCCTAGAAAATCCATTTTAAATTGGATTTATTGCCCATTTTGTTAGGTAAGTTCTCCCAATAGAATAGGATATTTACAGACACTTCGGCAGTCCTTGTCCAAATCTTTTTTTAGATTTTTTTTTATAAAGGGGAAGGAAACCCCAGGCCCTCAGAGGAAGCCCCTCCCTTTTCCCTCCCCACCTGCTCCTGGGGCTGCAGCCCCTGCTGGGTGGGTCCTGAGCGCCCCCTGCAGCCCAGCCTGCGCCCTGCAGGGAGGGTCCTGCCTGGGCTCACAGGGCGTGGCCTCTAGCGTCTCTCTTCCAGTGTTAAATGTCTGTGCCCTGACCTCACAGTGCTCCCTCAGGGACACCATACTCTTCTGATATCATATATTGAAATAATGAGTTTATGTTACTAAATCCCAATGACTGTTCAGGGGAGACCTCAACCAAGGGCTTTATGAAACCCCCTGGAGCCCTTTCCATGAAGCTTCTGGATCCACGGACACGGTCCCGAGCCCAGAATCTCTGCGGGTTCATGGGGGGCCCTGACATCCTTTAGGTTCCTCTGGTTGGAGGTGACACCTGGGAATCCCTGCAATGAATCACAGCCCTCTCTATCTCTGCTAGTCAATAAATTAGACACACAGAGTGGACAATTTTAGCATTAATGGTGCTCTAAATTGTCCTTGTCCCCTCTACCTAGTTCATGGGCTGTCCCTCACTCTGACCCCAGGCCTGGGTGTGTGACTTCTCTTGTAAATGGAACCCCAGAAATGTGACACATGCACAGACTTGGGAAGAACGTGCACCCTGGCTCTGCTTTTCCTCACAGCCCATGGGACCCGTGCAGATGACCCATGAGATGGGCCAATCTTGTCCCACAGGTTGTCAGAATCGAGGCCCAATCACACTATTGCCCACTCACGGCACCTGCAGTGGGGTCCCTTGGAGAACCCATGTCTGTGGGAGGGGAGGCACCTGAGGAGTTAGGGGAGGAGGAGGAGGAGGCAGCTCCATGTCAGCTGATTCAGGAGAGGCTGCTCGTGTGTGTGGGGGAGACATTACGTATTCTCATTATTACCACCTGTGAGGTAGTCGTCCTGGGTCTGGGCTGTGACCTCCCCAAGGGCTCTCCGTGGTCACCTCACTTCCTTGTGACTCCTCTCTTCCTGCCTGCAGCATCCACAGTCTATTCCTGAGTCTCTTAACTGGTAAATATGTCCCCTCCCAGGTCTGTCACAGGTAAGAATGTCACCCACCACTCAGAATAGGGTTCTGGGAAAGTCCTTCCCCTGGAGGGTCAGCCTGAGGGAAGTTTGGGTGGATTTCTCAGTGGTTAGTCCTCCCCTCCCCCTGTCAGGGACACGAGGGGACCCACATGCATCCTCCCTTGAGAACCTGGATGTGTCTGGAGGGAAAGCCCACAGAATTGTGGGGTGTGGCACCGGGACCCCCTCCCCCACAGGAGCCCACCTGTGAGCTCCATCCATTCATAACACTCACCCTGGAAGTGCTCCTACCAGGTTGAACCTCCAGCAGCTTGTGGTCTAGGTGACAAGAATCACCTGTGACTCTGGATGTGCATGTGTTTCCAATTATTAGAGTGGAGGCTCTACTTGCAATTTTCATTCTGTGATGGGTTCAGGAGACATAATTGATCTCCATTTTTCTAGGTTTCCTTCTAAGAATGGGACTGATGATTTCTATAATCACTAATTTTGGTGCAGAAAGCAGGTAACCCTCCAGAGGTCAATTTGACCTGTTACTAGAGGTGGGAATCTCACCTCACTAAGGGCAAGTGACACATGGACAGACATAACTGACCATAATATCAATGAAAGTCTTAACAGCCTCAAGTTCCTCCCAGGAAGCTGGAACCTGAAAAGTCGAACAGGAAGGAACCTGTTACCTCAGGTGATGTCCCATTTGGAAGGGCATCCGAGCCCCTGGCTGGACCCAGGAGGTGCACCTGCTGCCTCACACTAGGGACAGGAGCTCCCACTCCTTAAACACACACCAGGCAGTGAGAACGCTGTTTCCCAGGTGGGTGCAGAGCAGGGTGGGGGATGGAGGTGCCCTTGGCTTCCAGGATGCACTGGACATGAGGCCCCAAGTCCCATCTGAGAGGCTCTGATCTAAGTGTGAGGACGTTTCATTAGCTCTGCCTTCTGAAACCTGTGGCTGAATCAGGATGATCAGGAATGTGACTTATTTCCCTCTGGTCATGGAACCTGCTTCACAGATATTTATACCTGGAGAGCACACTATGGAGTGAATTCTATCCCCCCACCATTCCCATGTTCAAGCCCTATAACCCAGTGGCCTGTACTGGGAGTAAGGCTTGTAGGACATAATTATGGTTAAATGAGGTCATAAGGTTGGGGTCCTCACCCCCTACAATTGGTGGCCTTATAAGAAGAGTGAGAGAAAGAGAATGTCACCCTGTCTCCACCTCATGAGATGACAGTGAGCCGTCATTAGGATGAGTTCTAACGGGTAATAAATTCATCTGGCAATTTGACCCTGGAGTTAGCAGCCTGCAGAATGTGAGAAACTCCATTTCTGTTGTTTAACCACCGAGACTCCCATTTTCTGATGGCAGGAGGAGCAGACGAGATGGACATTTGGTCCTGAGAGTGGGGTTCTGCTGTAAGAAACACCTAAAAAGGTGTTAGTGGCTTTGCAAGGTAATAGTCAGAAAGTGGAACATTTATCAATATGTGTAAAAATATTCCAAGATTGCTGTGAAGGGATATTGAAGGTGACCATGTTGGGAGCTCAGGAAGAAGACCGGGGAGCTGTCGAGAGACCCCCGTATTCTCAGACAAAACAGGGATCGTCACGAACACAATGGTCTTGAAATGTGAACCTAAGCAGGCATCCTTGTGAGGCCTCAGATGGAAATGGGGAACATGTTATGGGTCCCTGGAGGAAAGGTGATCCTTGTTATAAGGTGTCGAAGGGCTTGGCTGCACTGGTTTCCCGTGTTATGTGGAAGGTAGAGCTTGTGAGCAATGGAGCTGGATATTCAGCTGAGGAGGTTTCTAAGAAAGTGTATGAGTGGCTTGGTTCCTTCTGGCTGAGGCTCATAACTCCAATTGGCTGTGAAGATGCAATATCATTTATGAAAAGGAAAGAATGACCTTGAATGAAATTTAGAGGTCATCAGTTAACTCCTTGATTTCAAGGCTTAAACCATCTCCTTGGTTGTAACAGGTAACACACCCAGCAACCAAATCCTTTGGGTGGGACCCCCACTGGTGGAGCCTGGGACGTGTGACCCTTGCTTTCTTCTTCCCTATTGACCCCTTTCAGAATGGGACTGTCTCCCCTATGCCTGCCCCACCATCACAGTTTGGAAGCACGTAATGTGTCTGGTTTCATAGGCTCACAGCTGGAGAGGATTGCCTCAAAATGAATCACAGCTCTTGTTCACCGATATCTGATGAGACAATATTTAGATGAGACTTTGGACCTTAGTGTTTAGAGTTGGTGCTGTAACAAGTGAGACTTTTGGAGCTGTTGGGGTAGATTAGTGTATTTTTCATGTGAGGAAGGCATCCATGACCCACAAAGAGATTACTATGGATTGAATTAGGGAAGGAAGGGACATGTGGGGGCCCTGTGGGCATGTGGGGACAGAGAGCCTGAGCTCAGCACACAAGGGCCTGGACTGTGCTGGGGTCTCTCTGTGAAAAGTGTTTCCCAGCTACAGGGAGACGAGAGTCCTCAGGGTGGTCGCTTTATCAAGAAATGAGAAAAGGACACACAGGACCTTGGTGAAGGAGTGGTCCTCAGTCAGTGTGATATATCATCTGCCTACAGACACTGCCCTTTCTTCACTTGTCTGCAGTGAGAGGAGGAGAAATGGAGCCCAAAGAAGCAGCAAGTGTTGTCCCTGAGGGCAGCTGAGAGCTTTCAGAGGAAATCCCTGCTCCAACTAAGAGCCCCTTCCCCACCCAGGTCACACCTGCTCCTCAGGCTGGTCCCTGTGCTCAGTGTGTCCCGAGTGACCCCTGCAGACCAGCCCTCCTGTCCCCTGCATGGATGTTTGTGTCTGGGCTCACACTGACTTCTCCTCACTGTGTCCCTCACACAGTAATACACAGCCATGTCCTTGGAGGTCACAGAGCTCAGCTGCACGGAGAACTGGTTCTTGGACGTGTCTCTGGAGATGGAGGTGCGGCTCTTGAGAAACGGGTTATAGGCTGTATTCCCGCTACAACTAATGTCCCCGATCCACTCCAGCCCTTTCCCCGGGGGCTGACGGATCCAACTCCACTCATGACCACTGGTGACGGAGTAACCAGAGACAGTGCAGGTGAGGGACAGGGTCTGTGAGGGCGTCACCAGTCCTGGGCCCCACTGCTGCAGCTGCACCTGGGACAGGACACCTGGGGACAAGGAGAATCAGTCTGTCACTCACGTGCAGTCACAGCCACCCCATAGGCCCGTGTCTGACACCTGAGACCCTCACCTTGGGGGACTGTCACCAGGCACAGGAGTGTTGGGAGCCATGCAGGCTGGCTTTACTGTAGTATCACTTGTTTTGCTTCTTGCTCCTTTCTGCACCTTGAGGATGCTTACTTAACCTTGAGGCATGTGGTGAGAAAGCCACTTCCTTAGAAGACACACGAAGATAGAGGGCTGTTTGGCTTTGGGGAAGATAGTTTCCTGGGA